TGGGACACTTTGACCTGGGAGTACACTGGAGAAAGCACTCGCCCCAAATCATGAGAAAATGCAGCAGAGCACAGCAGGATGGGACCCATGAGTCTTGGTCACAGAGGGCTGGTCATGGGGGTCTCAAGGGAGTGTGAGAGCCAGGTGGGTCAGGAGCGGGGAGAGCATCCCAGGATGGGATGGGGGGAGGTCCCCTGGTGGCCACCCGACACTGGTGGAGAGGGGAGGCCCTGATGCCACCCACCTTGAAGAAGGGCTCACTCTGCTTGCGGATGTCAGCCACTGTGAGGCGGGAGCGGGCATAGCCCACGATGAAGGTGTTTTCGGGGAGAAGTCCATCCCGGAACAGCCACCTGCGGGCAGAACACAGCCGTAACCAGGGCGGGCAGGGTAGGGCAGGGCAGGGCCAGGCCAGTCCCTGGCGGGAGGTCACAGGGGCAGCGGGAGGACATGCTTACCAGATGGTGGGGTAGATCTTCTTCTTGGCCAGGTCACCCTGTGGCAGAGGGAACAGGTGTGTGGTTAGACGTGGCTGGGGACATGACGTACATCATCCGCCACCCTTGGTAATCTGGGCACTATGCAGGATCACTACCCGGCCACAAGCATATCTGTCTTGCCCTGATATACACACAGAGGAGCCCCAAGATTCAAGCCTGTGCCCACCCTCCCCCTGACCTGGAACACAGAAACGTGTCTCCTGCATTCCAGAAGAAAACCTGAAAATTCAATTCAGTAGAACTGAGGGATGACGGAAGTACCACGTAGCCAAATTTGTGAGACGTGACCTCAAATGCTTACGTTAGCAAAAAGACTGGCTCAAAAATAAGGAGATAAGCATTCCGCTTAAGAGGTGAGAAAAAGGGCTGCAGTGGCTCACGCCTGTAATCCCAGCACTTTGGGAGGCTGAGGCAGGCGTATCACCTGAGGTCAGGAGTTCAAGACCAGCCTGGTCAACATGGTGAAACCGCGTCTCTACTAAAAATACAAACATTAGCCATGCCTGGCACCACTGAACTCCAGCCTGGGTGACAAGAGCGAGACTCTGCCTTAAAAAAAAAAAAAAGAAGCGAGAAAAGGGATAGAATGGTAAGCCGAATTACAAGGAAGAAAATAATCACAAGTAAAATTAATAAAATGAAAAGCTAACCCAAAGAAAATATTAACAGAGCTGGAAGCTGGTAGTGTTTGAAAAAGACTGATAGAAAAAAACAACCCTCTGGCATGGCTGCTTTTTAGAAAGAGCACAAATAATTGGGACAATCGGACAAAGTCCCAGACAGGACACAGGAGAGGGTTTTATGAACTTTATTCCACGCCTGACAACCTAGATGAGATGGACAAATTTATAGAAAAATCTAACCTACTCAAACAGAGCAATGGGGCTGGGTGCTGTGGCTCACGCCTGTAATCCTAGCACTTTGGGAGGCCAAGGCAAGCGGATCACCTAAGGTCAGGAGTTCAAGACCAGACTGGTCACCATGGCGAAACCCCATCTTTACTAAAGTACAAAAATCAGCCAGGTGAGGTGGTGGGCGCCTGTAATCCCAGGTACTCTGGAGGCTGAGGCAGGAGAGATCGCTTGAATCTGGGAGGCAGAGGTTGCAGTGAGCCGAGATCGCAGCACTGCAGTCTAGCCTGGGTAACAGAGCAAAACTCCATGCAAAAGAAATAAAAAGAAAAGGCAAGGGATCCCACAGAGACAACCTCCTGAACCTCCTGGCACAGAGAGCCAAAATGCAAGGAAAAGAGAATCCCAGCCTGAACCAAACTCTTCCTGCAGAATGAAGAAAGGAGAACACTTCCCAAGCCACCTTATAGGGCCTGCAGAGCCTTGGTACCGAAACCTGATGAGAAAGGCACATGGGAAAACCCATCAGCCTCATTCACACACACATGCAGATGCAGAAATCCCACAGGAAACATCAGCAGGCCAGCCACAGTTCACACATCCCAGCAGTTTGGGAGACCAAGGTGGGAGGACTGCTTGAACCCAGGAGGTTTTTATTTTTTTGAGATGCGGTCTCACTGTCACCCAGGCTGGAGTGCAGTGGCATGATCTCAGTTCACTGCAACCTCTGCCTACTGGGCTTAAGCAATCCTCCCACCTCAGCCTTCTGAGTATCTGGGATTACAGGTACAAGACACCACACCCAGCTAATTTTTTGTAGAGACAGGGTTTTCCCATGTTGCCCAGGCTGGTCTTGAACTCTTGGGCTCAAGTGACCTGCCCGCCTCAGACTCCCAAAGTGTTGGGATAACAGGCGAGACCCACATGCCCAGCCCCAACCCAGGAGTTTGAAACGAGCCTGGGCAACATAGTGAGACCCCAACTCTACAAAAATAAAAGTAAAAAATGAAGCTGGGCGTGTGGTACGTGCTGGTGGTCCCGGTACTCGGGAGGCTGAGGTGGGAGGAATCCAGGATCCTCCCAGGAGCTGAGCCCAGGAATCGAGGTGTTGGTGAGTCACTGTTGCACCACTGCACTCCAGCCTGGGTGACAGAGGGAGACCATGTCTCTTTTAAAAAAAGAAAGTAAACAGCCGCAAACCAAATCCTGCAGTGTTCAAAACAGTAACACATTGGTAGCAAGTTGAGTTTATTCTGCAAATAAAAAGTGGGTTTGATATAACAGGAAAAAATCAATCACTGAAATTCACCATATGAAGAGATTAAAGAAAAAAAACCTAAGAAATCTCTGCCTACTGCTATGTTTTGATATTTTAAATCTAGCAATCTTGCTCAATCCAACAGATATAGATGAAGTATTTCAGAAATTACCTATTCATGATAAAACTCTTATTACAGGACAAATATAAGGGAACTTCCTTAACCTGATAATGAACATCTATTAAACACCATCCTGGCCAGGTGAGGTGGCTCACGCCTGTCATGCCAGCACTTTGGGAGGCCGAGGTGGGCAGATCACTCGAGGTCAGGAGTTTAAAACTAGCGTGGCCAACCTGGTGAAACCCCATGTCTACTAAAAATACAAAAATTATCTGGGGGCGGTGGTACGTGCCTGTAATCACCGCTACTCAGAAGGCTGAGGCAGGAGAATCGCCTGAACCCAGGAGGTGGAGGCTGCAGTGAGCCGAGATTGCGCCACTCTAGCCTGGGCAACAAAGCTAGACTTTGTCTCAAAAATAAAACAAAACAAAACAAACCAAACCCAACCCCAAACCATCATCCTTGCAAACACTACAAATATCATACTTATGGGAAATGTGGAAATGTTCATAATTCCTTTAAGCAATCAGGCACAAGAGAAGTGCAGTAGGGCAAGAAAATGAAAGTGGCGTAAGTTTGGGCTGTGAGATGGTCCAGGCGCTCCCACACAGTCTGGAAGCCTCTGATCAAGAGAAGCACATGCCTATCATGCGACCCAGCCTTTCTACTCCTAGGTAGTACCCGAGAGAAATGAAAGTGGATGTCCACACAAAGTCTTGGACATGAATGGCCCCAAACTGGAAACAAGTCAAACACTTGAATTAACATGCGAACCTGCAAACTATGCATTCAAACGACGACACTACTCAGCAACACTGGGAAACCTCAGTAGCAGAGGTGCAATCCTCCACAAGCTCCCTCTCATGGAGTTCTGGAATAGGCAAAACCAACCCACTGTGATAGAAATCAGACCAGCGGTTGCCTGGAGCAGGGGGTAGACTGGCTGGAAACGGGCACCGAGGAACTTTCTGGGGAGATGATGATGGCCTTTATTGTGATGAGGGTGCATAGCCAATTGTACAGTTAAGATTTGTGCACTGCTATGCGCACCAACAAAAGACAGCGAGAGAATGAACAATGGAGTGGAGGGTGGGGAGTGGGTCAGAAATGACCCTTTGGGGGCCAGCAACTATGAGCAGGCTCCCTTGGTGCAGAGCATATTGTTTCTTGATCTAGGAGCAGCTTCTGTGGCTCTGCTGAGTTTGTGAAGAGTCACTGAGCTAGACCTGCACCATCCGTGTTCTTCATGACATAGATTTCTTTTTTTGAGAGGGAGTCTCGCTCTGTCACCCAGGCTGGAGTGCACTGGCGCAATCTTGGCTCACTGCAATCTCCACCTCCTGGGTTCAAGCAATTCTCCTGCCTTAGCCTCCTGAGTAGCTGGGACTACAGGCATCTGACACCATGCCTGAGTAATTATTGTATTTTTAGTAGAGATGGGTTTCCCCATGTTAGCCAGGCTGGTCTCAAACTTCTGACCTCAGGTGATCTGCCTGCCTTGGCCTCCCAAAGGGCTGGGATTATAGGTGTGAGCCACTGCACCTGGGCATGACATATATTTCAATAAAACATGGTAAAAACTAATAGACAGTCTGGGCATTGTGGCTCATGCCTGTAATCCCAGCACTTTGGAAGACCAGGACAGGCGGATCACGAGGTCAAGAGATCGAGGCAATCCTGGCCAATGTGGTGAAACCCCGTCTCTACTAAAAATACAAAAAATTAGCTGGGCATGGTGGTGTGTGCCTGTAGTCCCAGCTACTCAGGAGGCTGAGGCAGGCGAATCACTTGAACCCGGGAGGCAGAGGTTGTGGTGAGCCAAGACCACGCCACTGCGCTCCAGCCTGGGTGACAGAGTGAGACTCCATCTCACACACATAGATGAAAACAAGACATGCTCTTCAAAGCGATCAGACACTGCAACCATGGATGGGTCCGTTTCTATGAACCATTATAGAACGGAGGCCGTGCCACCAGGACACATGCCCCCACCCAGAGACAGGCAGTTAGGAAGCCACCGGGGGATTCCAGGTGGGAAATCGCTATGGTGTGCATGCCTTGTGTGCTCTGCTTCTGCCCCTACTTGGGTGAGTTTGGTGTGGGGCTTCAGGTGGGAGCTGCAGGCAGACTGCTCCCGAGTTTCTTCCCAGCTGCACTGGGACCCCAGCATCCCCACAGTGGGCTGTTCCCAAACCAGGGTTGCCTGTGTTGGTATCTGGGGGCTGGTTCCCTCCACTCTGGCCCATGTCTGCTAGCCACTTGCCATCTCTATCTCTTGAGCACTCTGGAGTACAGCTCTCCTGTAACTGCCACATGAAAGCTTTATAAATGGTCTCCTTGCCCCCCAGATGCTGAAGTGACCATCTTGGAAATAAAGTTCCAGCCCTGCCACCAGCTGGGCTTGGACCGCCCATGAGAACTTCTCACCCATCGCTACCCAACATGATGCCCAATGCAGCTCTCCTAGCGTGCGACTTGCTGCTCCCTGAAGCCACAAGGACCTCTTGCTTCTGCATCCTTCCAAGTCTAGCTCAGACGACCCCTCACCCTGGGGTAGGAGCTCCTCCACTCCATTCCTCACAGCACCCTGCCATCAGTGGGACTGGGGAGCAGAACACTGGCCACGTCACATCAACTCAGGGTTGGCCCCGCACACAGAAAAGGCCAGCTTGCTGGGAACTAACTTGCCCCTGAATGAAACGGTAATAACCACAGCCTGCAAATATCTCTAAGCCTCACTCAAAACAGGTCATGTTTGCTCATGACCAAATTCTGGTAGATCAGGAGGCATCGGGACAGACTCCAGGAAGTCACTGGTGGCAGGAGACTGGTCTGCTGAGTCACAGCGGCCCCACGCTCCAGGCTGTTTGTTCCTGCTGCTTCCTTTGGGATTAACTGGAGATTGAACCTGTTCGTCTTGTTCCAGCTCAGCCCCTGCAACCAACTGTCGGCTGGGCTCCGAGTCACCTGAGAGGTGAGGTGAGGTAAGACGGAGGACGGCGTGGGTGGGGGAAGGCCAGGCAGCTCCCTCCCATGGTGACGGGGAACTAAGCTGAGCTGAGCCGAGCAGAGCCAGACTGAGCTGCTCTCCTCAGGGCTCAGGGCTAGCCCTGCCCTCCCAGCTGGCTGCAGCACTCTAGTGGGACTTTCTGGAGGGACAAGCACAGGAAGAGATGGGAAAACCTGACAGCTTAGTCAAGAGTCTACTCCTGCCGTGTGGGTGAGGGCAATTCAAGGGGTCCTTAGTGAGAAGCAATTGGGAGCTTCTCATTTTCCTTATGCCCTCCTCTTTCCTGAGGACCACAGCAGGGGAGGGGCCTTCTCAAGGACACAGGGTGTCTTAGTAGAAGCAGGACACGATTAAGATCTCCAGCCACCAATGTCTGGCTAGGCCAGGGCAAAGGGACCTAGGCCATGACCTGTTTTATAAACCCAAATCGCTACAGCTCTTGTCTTGGTATGAGGGTTTCACGGTAGAGGGCGATGCCTGCTGGAGGGCCAGCAGGGGTGGGCCATCCCATCCCCAAGGGTTGCTAGGGTCAAGGACCTGCCCAGACTCCCTGGGTGGAGCCCTGGGCCTTGGCAGGGGCCCAGCTGGTTCCTGGCCAATAGGGGCAGAGAACCTGGGGGCTGCTGAGTTAGGTCAGCTGAAAAACCAACAAAAGGGCCTCCCTCCTAAACCCAGGGGCTCATGAGTCACCGGGGCTTTGGGAGAGTGCCAACATCATCATGACACAGCAAGAATCTTGTCAGACCAACAGAGAAGTCAGCCCAGAAATGTTCTGAGGAAAGGGAGGGGTAGGGGCCACTGGGTCATCCCTTGCACGGGCCCATCATCAGGATGTGTCCTGAACGCCCAGCAAGCCCATGGCCCTTGTGATCCAGGTGGGGAAACTGAGGCCCAGAGAGGTGAGGACCCCGTAGACTCTCGGTCCCAGTCTCTTCCCCTCACTCCCTGTGAGGCTCTCTAGCCTCATCGAGTTCCCATCAGGTGGGGAAATATGCTGTTCCAGGCACACGCTGGTCTGCAAGGCCAGAGCATTCTGGAAGAGGGCAGTGAGTACATCGGCTCCCTTTCTGGTAGGGGTGGGAGTCCTGAGAAGATGGGAAGTGGCCCACTTGGTAACTCTGAGCCATCATCAGGGCCCCCAGGAAGGAAGCTGGGTGTGTGGGCAAGCGTTGGGTAAGCTGGCCAGGAGGAGGACGGGACAGAGGAAGGCCACGTGGGTCCAGCCTGCCCCAGGGTGTCCCGCTTGCCTGGCTGTGGGTCTGCCAGCCACTTGCCTGCTTGCAGTTTCTAGGTCACGCTGAGCTAGTTCCCAACTCGGGACTTCAGGCATTTGCTCTTCCTTTTGTGTGGGTGCCCCGGCAGGCTTGCTCTCTAGGCACTCCTTGTGGGATCTATGTGCTCTGGGGGGCTGAGAACACAGGGCCCACATGTATCTTCTGAAACACATGCCAGCCTGAGCTCTTGCTGGTCTGCTTACTTGCTGTGGTTCCCTGGCCACCACAGCACATAGGTCCCATGAGGAGGGCAGGGACTGGCTGCTGTTGCCCAGAAGTGCCCGATCACTCTCTGCTGAATGAATGGAAAATGGGCTATTTTCCTGGAGCAGCAGATTCTAGGATTGTGTGCCCCCAAGCGCCACCCTGTGTACCTCCCGCATTGAGTGAGGCATGAGGCACAGAAGGAGCCTGGGAGTGGGAGCTGCTCCAGGTGCTGCCTGAGCACACCACCCCCACCCGCAGCAGGAAGAGGAAGAAATCAACCACAAGGCCCTTCAGAGAGAGGGCCCCTTGTCTTCTGCCCACAGTGCTGGAGCTGGCACTTTCTATTTCTGCTTTGAAAGCCTCTGGTTGTCACTCTCAGAGCAGAGGAGAGCAAAGGGGAACCCTACTGATTTCAACGAAACAAAGTTGCCCAATCCCAAGCTGGCCACAGGTGAAGACAGGGAAATGACACAATCAGCTTGGGAAAGCCTAAGGACCCTGGGCATTCGTTTCAAAAGCTGTCATTTGCTACATGAAATGCTGACAGTCAGAGAAAGGAAAACACTTGCTCCAAGTCACACAGTAAGCTTGGATGCTCAGTGAGGTGTCTAATGAGAGCTGAAGGCCTGGAGTCATAAGCCATCATTGTGGCCTGGGCTGCTGTGTTGCAGTGTCCTTGTGACAGCATGGGGTGGAGACGGGGAAAGGAGAAAGCATCCCCAGTTACCTTCTCCTCCAGAGAAGGGCTTAATGGTCAGAGTCCTAGGTGGTAAGGTTTGTGACTGATGCAGGTATGGCTCTTTTAATTTTTTTTGACATGGAGTCTTGTTCACTCTGTTGCACAGGCTGGAGGACAGTGGTGCGATCTTGGCTCACTGCAACCTCTGCCTCCCATGTTCAAGCAATTCTCCTGCCTCAGCTTCCTGAGTAGCTGGGATTACAGGCAGGCGCCACCATGCTCGGCTAATTTTTCTATTTTTAGTAGAGATGGGGTTTTGCCATGCTGACCAGGTTAGTCTCAAACTCCTGACCTCAGGTGATCTGCCCACCTCGGTCTCCCAAAGTGTTGGAACTACAGGGGTGAGTCACGGGGCCTGGCTAGGTATGGCTATTCTGAGGGGACTAGGCTGGGGCTGAGGGCAAGCCCAATCCACTGTGGGCTCCACCTGGGTACCTCTCCTGGGTCTCAGGCATATGTGGAGTCAGAGGACAGTGCTTGGGGTGGCCCTTCCTTACTCCTCCCTCGGCTGCCTCCTCATTCCTTTTGGCTCTCCTTTTCTAAGTTGTGATCAGAAGTACAAGGGTGTCAAGGAGTAGGTTTGCAAAGTGTGACAGTGTGTTGTACGTGAACAAAGAACCACTAAGCTCATCCAGCGCTCAGGGACGCATGATGAAGAAGAGCTAATTAATTTTGAAAGAGCTAATGCTTAAGGTTATAAGGTTTTTTTTTTTTTTGAGCCGGAGTTTTGTGCTTGTCACCCAGACTGGAGTGGAATGGTGAGATCTTGGCTCATGGCGAAACCTCTGCCTCAGCCTCCTGAGTAGCAGGGATTATAGATGCCTGCCACCATGCCCAGCTATTTTTTTGTATTTTTAGTAGAGATGGGTTTTCACTGTGTTGACCAGGCTGGTCTTGAACTCTTGACCTCGAGTGATCCTCCCAAAGTGCTGGGATTACAGGCGTGAGCCATCATGCCCGGCCTGGTTACAAGGTAAATTAATGGCAAAGATGGTCATATGGTAGTGAGCAGATTGAGTGCATCCAGGATTAAAAGTGAAAACTGAGGCTGGGCGCGGTGGCTCAAGCCTGTAATCCTAGCACTGTGGGAGGCCGAGGCGGGTGGATCACGAGGTCAAGAGATCGAGACCATCCTGGTCAACATGGTGAAACCCCGTCTCTACTAAAACTACAAAAAATTAGCTGGGCA